GGGATCAGCCCTGTGCTGAGGCACATTTTGCTCAGACGTGACCAACGTTCTGCAGAGTCAGTCTTACAGACCTCTAAGCTTCATATGGCCTTCAGATTAGCTCAAAAACAGTGCACAGAGAGCTTCATGGAACGGATTTCCATGGCCGAGCAGCTGCATCCAGGCCTTATTTCACCAATCAGCAGAGACTGACCTCACAAATGTCTTTCTGCAAGAACAGTCAAAAATTCCCGTAAGCACTCCTAAACCTTGTGGAAAGCCTTCCTAGAAGAGTTGAAGCTGCTATACCTGCAACAGGCAAAACCTTATGGGTTAGGAATGAGAAGTGACTCAATTTTATATGTGTATGAAGGCAGACGAGCAAATATTTTTGGCAGTACATCCCAAAAAAGTTGCTTGTTTTCAACGGGTCAGAGCGTTTTTAGTAGGAGAAGCATTTCATGACTCATCCAAGTTACTTTTTGGAATTTCCTTACATGGATGATTGAACATGCATCTTTTTGCAATACAGCATATCTCAAACTTTCTACAAAATGTATAAAAGTTAAAATGTATTCAGTCCACTGGCACTCTTTTTTCTTGATGTGGATTTTTTTAGACTTTTTTTGTGAGACTGAAACAACAAAAACTCGAGAGTGAAACCAAAGGTTTAGAAGTTGCTGCAGGCTAGAAGGACTCCTGCAGCTCCCACAGCTTTTATTTTCATTTGCTCACAGTTTGCTGCTGCGTCAGTGCACTAGAACAGTCATTTATGCTGCTGGACAAACCCGTGTTTTTCCTCTTCACCTTTTAAATTCAGCTGCCGGTGTGAATGTCACCATCTCTCTGAGGCTGTGACAAGATGTGGTTTCACAGCTCCTGAAACAGAGTCATCACAAGTGTGGATGAGCTCTGCTGTGCTGACTTATTAGTGAAATAGTGAAACATGTTGTCTGAGTTGGACTCTCGAAGCTGTTGGTCTGTTTTATTGCCACTGCTGTATTAATTTGGCAGAAGAGAGATGTATCTCTGTGCCTGACTGTCCCTCCACATGGGCCTCTTTCAAGCCTTGTGCATGGGAGCAGCAGCTTGTGTTTGTCAATCTGTGCTTACTCAACCGTGCAAATGAGTCTGCCTGGTGTTCTCCAAAGCTTTTTGGCTTCGGATCATCGTGATTCATTTGGCGGCATTTTGGAAAAAAGCTGGCAACAACAAATGTATACAAATTTCTACTCAGTCATAACTTGAGTATTTGTGGTTTTATAAAATAGATTTCTGTAAAGTGTAAAATGTCACAACTACGTGTACCCTGTGGCTGACACCACAACATCGAATGATGTTTTATTCGCACTTACAATAAAAAAGAAAGATTTAGGAAAACCAGAAAACACCACATCCGAAAAGAAGGCAAGGGTCAGAATGGAGCCACAGTTGAAAGAGTCAGATGCCAGAGTTGGATTAGACATAGATATAAGGAGTAAAGATGGTGGGAAAAGAAAGAAATGAGGGAAGTAAAAAAGCCACATGAGGAACCAACCTTGAGAGTGAATGAGAACAAACAATGAGGCACAAGCAGTGGAGATCACTAAAAGTGAATGGGGAAAACTAAGAATACTACAGAAGCCATACAGACAGATAACAACCATGGAATAGTAGCACAGGTCTGCTGCGTGGGACCTTAGCTACTATATGCTGTAATTATCTTGTCGTCTAATTTATTATGTTAATAGGTTTGACAGTGTGCAGATGTTTGGGTTACATAACTAAACTGCAGTCTTGAGCACTATAGTGTTGTTTTTGTTGGTGCTGTTGATGTTTTGTCCTGCTTATTGCAGCAACATCACTGGCACCCTACTCTGCAAGCAGCTTGTTCAGATTGGGCATGGCACTGTTGAAGGCGTGTGGGTCCAAACACGGGATCAGAGTGATCAGGGCAATCAAGACTGCAGCTGTTGTTTTCAGGCTGTTTTTGGCTATATGGAAACATTAGTG